TAGTTAGAAAAATAATTACTACATTCCACGTTACTATTGCTCAATTTAACTGTATTTTAATATTTTCTTTATCTAATATTTTCTCTAAAACAGCAAAAATGTCAGCACTGAAGCTGTGAAAGCAGAGGTTACTCTATGGAGTCTGATGTTAGAAGCTTTATAATGATGTCAGAAAGTTGGTATAGACTTCATTAGTTCTATTTTATGTCAGAATTTTTTTCTAATAGGTCTGCTTTATGAGTATGGTATGGTTATCACAGCTTGATGAATGTTACATGTAACAGCTTTCTCTTTTGTCTTACATCTTTGGCCTGAATTTGGTTTCAGCTATAATCAGTGTTGCTCTGGTGATCCCAGTGTGGTAGTATTTTGTAGTGCCAGTGGCTCATTAGAAAACTTTAGTAAAAGATAAGCTTCCACTTCTTAATTTGTTCTTTCTGGAAGAGAAGAAAATAACAGGGAAGGGTTGCTATTTATATCCTATTATATGTAGTAAATCTTTAGAAAGATAGCAGCTTTTCATAGAAATAACTAGGCAAAGATTCCAAATGCTGAGGAAAGCCATTGAATTCTTTAAGAGGTGAATTGCTATTTTTGACCTATAGATCATTTAAGCAATAGCAAGTTATTGTTACAATTTACCTGGACATCAGTATTTCTTTCATTCTTCTTGCAGTAAAGATAATAAAAATATAGAAAGAAACATGAAAGTGAAGAGGGTTCTAATGATTGTCGTCTTCTGCTGAATAGAATATGGTGAAGAAATTGTGGGATGCACAAAGCCATTGGGTTTTCAGTGACAGCTGTTGCTGTTGGAGAGATGAAAGCACTTGGCCCAAGAGTCTGTTTATATATTTGAGCAGAGAAAGTGATTTTCATTGCAAGAAACTCTGAGACAGGCAGAGTCAGAGAATAAGAGAGCAAAAGATAATTATCTAAATTATGTTCAGGCTATTATAGAAGACGAATATAGTTAAAATGTAATTAAATATGACAGGCTTACAGGATGCAAGCATGGCTTTGGAATGCTAATCATCAATTACTGCATCTCCTTAGGGGAGTTGGGCAGAACAAGAGAGTTTAAGTCAGGTGGCTGAGGTGAGATACAGAGTGTTAAATAAAACACCTTAGGACTGTAACAAGGCTAATTGCTTTTGGAAAATGGACCTGTGGTATCAGGGGACCTTTGCTAGCCAAACAACTTGTAGTGCTGCCTTTCAGCTTGAGGACCCTGGTATAAATCTGAATAGGCTGCTAGTCCCGAGTCTTCTCTTAGAGATGTAAACCTCAGCTTGAGGTAGTGATTATTTCTGTTGTAAAAGTGATGACCAGAACTGCTTCAGATTAAGCAGCAAATCTAGAATGAATCAACCAGTAAGACAGGTGTGAAAGAAAAGAAAAAAAAAAAAAAGGAAAAAAAAAAAACAACAAACCCAACAAAAAGTCAGCACTTCCTGAATATTTAAAAAAGCTAAACTCTGAAAAATCAATTTGTTATAGAGTCACTAGTAAGTATTACAGATATACAGAAAGTCCAAAGACAACAATGTCGGTTTATGGGAGAAGTAAGTTCTGATAGCTTCTTTATGATCGTGTCCTAGTTAAAGAAGGTGAAAATATTGCCACCAGCTTGAAAGATCTGTTTGCTTGGCATATGGAGAGTAAAGATGAAGAAATGGCATCTATTACACGAAGTATCTAATACCAGACCAGAAATTAAGTGCCTTTGGTATGTTTTAATGCTGCTGTTCCTGGAAAATAGTGACTTATGTATGAAACAATACCAGAGCTAAAGTTTTGAGAAAATTTTTGTAAAGACCATCAAAAGCGATTTTTGAGGATAGAAGGACTGTCTCTTGTGAGTAAAGTATAAAATAAGCACATACACATGGCATGACTACAAAATAATTTGTAAAATAAAATTTCTACAGAGAAACTGAAATTATTACAATAGTACCAGAAGAGATAACCAGTAGTAAAAGAAGATAATTAAAAAGAAAATTAAGGCTTACCTGTGATGTCTTTTAATTTAATCAAGAAACATCACTGGACAGTTGTTATATCTTGATACATAAATAGAATTCTTAATGCATTTGTTATATCAGCAAAAAATGCAAAAAGTGGGCAGAAACGCCTTGAAAATGTTCTGTCAGTAACCTTTCTTCCCCTATAGTTACACCACATAAATTATCTCTTTGCTGCATAATTATATTTGTACTGGAGAGGTATTATTTTGTATATATCCATGATCTCAAATATTCTGTTACAGTCAAAATCAGTGCAACTTTCTAGTGAAGAAGGTTTGCCTTGCTTATTTCAAGTGAATTTTTCCAAATCCATTTGTATTGTTTTCTAATGTGTTTTTTTCCATTTTGCTAAGGAAATAAACTGAGACCTAATTTTCTCATCCCATCAAGTACTAGTTCTCTAGTAGCAATATTCTTGAATTTTAAGAACTCTTTGAAAAATTTTATGTAATTTTGACTTTTTCCAATGGAAAAGGAATAAAATGGACACATACCAAAGCAATAAATATTCTTAGGACCAAATTCGTTGGAAACCTCCCTTAAAGTCTTGCATCCTCAAGAATTTACTTAAGAATTTGCTACCATGTTTTAATATTATTAGAAGGGTATTAATATTATTAGAGGGGTAGTTATAATCCAATCCTAATAACAGCATTATAGCAAGAAGTAAGGACTTGTAGTGCAGTGGGTAGTGGAAGAACTTAAAGAGCTTCCTGGAGGAGCTGATCTAGAAGTATGTTGTCAAAAGGATCTTCAGAGGCCTTTTTCTCAAACTCTCTTAGTATCTGTCATGCTTTTCAGCTGTATCCCTGAATAGATGTCAGCTTCCTTGTTGTCACTTCATATGACAGACAATGGCATTCACTACCATCTCTGGAAAATCTGCACTGAACTCTTGCAGTGTGTATTTGACCGGTGCTCAGAAGTACTATAAATAAATACAGATCCAATGTATATTCTATTTTGTGATCCCTAATTAACCTATTTTCTTGTCACAGCACACAAACTTTACCTGAGAGGCTAGAAAGGCATAGGCTGTTCCTAACAGCCTCTTTGGGATTTCAAACTCTTTTATTTAGAATAACTTTAGAATATTATCTACATCACTAAAGAGGGAAATCTGATTTTTACATCATCACTTTCCTTACATAAAGTGTGTGCATGTAAAAGTGAAATCATATGCCTAATGCAAACTAAGGCAATACTTTGTTACGAGAGGTAGTGTTGCAATCATCTGATTGTCCCAGACACTCCTCTCTGGGACTCTGTACTTCAAGGTAACAAGTTACATTTGGCCATGAAGATTAACTGACTGGCTGTATTAGAGTAATATAAGAAGAAATTCAAGAAGAATTGTTCACCTGTTTAGGAAAAAAAAAAAATTAAATCATAACAATCTATGAGATCTTGAGACAGTCATCAAAATAGTCTATTCTTTTATTTAGAGCTTGAAGAAACAGCCTGAGCTTTCAAATAAGAAGGACATAGCCACATGAGGGATATAAATAAACCATACCATTAGATAGATAACTGCTGTTCCTCTGAGACCTGACACAGACTGCACCTTTCTATTATGATGAGTAACTAATTAAATCCATTACTTCATGCAGTAATGCCAATAAACTACTTGAAATTAGGTCTTGATTGGTCTTACAATCTTCTATCAGCAAATATAATCTGACAGCAGTGATAAAAGTAATAGTTGACTAAATTAAACCCAGAAATGTGTTTGTGACAAAGAGGTTTTCCTACTAAGGGAAAATTCAAGTGCCTGAGAAATAGTCAGCAACCAAGCTTGTCTATACTGCCAGGCTTTGGGGTAGTCTACTGGGGATGAGTGTTCTTTTACTCCAGTTTTGCTTTGGTTCCTTGTTTCTTATATGAACACTTCTGAAGGTATTCTGAACAAGTTCAGGAAACCTATACAATGTTTTTCTCCCGTAGTGAGTTAATCAAGTTACACTTAACCACATTTTATTTCTGAAGCCTTCTGTGATGGAGTCTAGTTTTGCTAAAAAGTTACATTTTGTATCTAGCTTTCATGTTTTATGAATATAAAATAATTCAAATTCTAGTGTGTTTCAAGTACTAATCTAGTGTGGTGGAAGACTGGCATCAAAGTGGAACATCTAATTCCTATTATTCCTTTTGTTTCCTCTGTTTTACTATCAGTGTGTTCTCTAAACACAAAGATATGGTAGGAATCAGGGTACTTTGCCTGATGTTCATTGGGCTGCTTGGGGTGTTGTACCTCACTCAGACCAGAAGAGTATGAATGAGGAAGGAAGATTATAGTGGTCACAATCCACCTCTAGTGTTCTCAGTCTAGCCCAAAAAGTTACACTCCAGTTCCAGGAGGGGGTTCTGTTCTCCCCACTGCCTCTGTGTCAGGATGGGGAAATCTTCACAACCTGAACTGTGAAGAATGCTTTATGTCAGTCATAATTTCCTGGAAGGACCTTGGCCCACACAAGAGAAGCTTGGCTTCTCTGCCTCCACTACTCCACTTAAAAGTGGGAGTTTATTTGAGGTTTGGGGTGGGTTTTTTTACCCTAGAACTGTAATTTTCTTTTACCAAGCTCTGATGATTTCCCATGAGTAGGTAACAGATGAATGCATTTACTTTTATTTACCTGATCTTTTGTTTATCTAAAATAGTCAATACTAGTCAAGGATTTTAGACTTTGGTTCAGTTTTTTTCTGTTAGCATTTTCTTAACTTTCAGCAATAGTATGAGATTCCTGAATACAAATGATAGTAGTGTAAAGTATGTATGGAAACACATAAGCAGAGTCAAGGCGCTTAAAAATGAACAAGGAGTGCTGGAAATTCATTTGATGAAAAGTGTTTCTCTATTTGCCCTATTAAGCGATAATAGTATGTACTGTCACTTGAATGGATTCTCTGTATATTTTACTGCAGGCTGTTGTGACAGTGTTTAATATTTGCATGTCTTTCTGGACTTTTTTGTAGATCCTGGCAAACAATCACTTTTGATAAACAGCCTGCATCTTTTATCAGAATAGTTGGGACTCACAACACAGCTAATGAGGTAAGGAACTTTGTAGAAAACCTATATTCTTCATGAATATACAACAGCATGGTTTTTCATACCTTACAGTGAAATTGATAATGCCTTCTGAAATGTACTTCATTTTTTTTCTCTGTCAATCTATCAAAATAAGAATGAATGCTTTTCTTATTTGAATATTTGTGCACTGTGTTATCATCTTTCCAGATTTACAGAGTTGAAGGGCTTTTGCCACTGTGGGGGATATTTTGGGATTTTTACAAAGTACAGTAAACTGGTTCTGGTTTTCACCTTTGCACAGTGCCATCAAACATTCCTACTGGGTTTGCTTTTAAATTATTTCTTATTTTAATGAATGATTAAAATACAGTTTTAGTGCATTAGAGAAAGGTGTACCATCTCCGATTACTTGGTTTTATCACTCTTATGTTATCTTGTTAATGAATAAAACATAAGAAAAATCCATTCTTCATAGGAAAATCTTATTTGTGTAAGATTCTCTTGTAATTAATTTTCATACCCCGTGAATACTGCAGTTAACCAGTAGTGGCCAAAGCAAGAGATTTTTTTCAATTCATTTTATACAGGAAAAATATATTTTGCCCTAACCAACCAAGTGCAGTATCATCCTCTTTTTGTTTACTTGTGCTTCTGCCTTTCATAATTGTTCTTTATTGTCTCAGATGAAGTCCAGATTTTACAGTTGACTTCAGTGAAATAACTTACAATAACTGAATTTAGGAATGTATATAAATCCTTTGAGATTAGGACCTTATGTGACAGTATTGTAAAAAGCACCAAAAGCTGCTGCTTCTGTGTGGATGCATGCATGTCTACATTCTACACATATAGTTCACCACAAAACATTCTACTTTCACACTTTACAACGAACTTTGGTTAGCACTGTTAAATTTGTAGTAATCAGAGTTTGTCAACTTTATCAGTATTGGGAGTCAGGATTTCCAATCATATTTAGTATATGGGGTTGCTGGTGCTTAAGCATTGAAAGAATTATCAAATAGCATTGTTTATGTCCAGCTTTAGAGCAATTACTGCAGACACACGCACCACCAGATGTCAGCAATAGTTCTCAGCAGGTAGTTGGAAAGAAGCTGACGAGCAACAGAACTTTTTTTCCTAAGCACTGTTTCATCTGTTGTACAGTTCAGTCTTAATCAGTGAGTTCATGTAGAGAGAAGCTGTCTCCAGGGTTGTTCTACATGCATGAAGGTGGCCTTTTCCAATACTAAACCATATAGACGGTCTTGTTTGCTCTCATGTCAGTCTTTGTAAGTTCTCATCTCTTTATTAGAAAACTTAACAAATCAGCCTACAAGAAACATTACCTCCAAGTTTTAATTCTTAAAATTAGCTTTAAGCCCTGAAGGGTAAGGGGCTTTTAAACATAATTCTAATTTCAAATTGGTTACTATTTCCAAAGAATTTAATATCCTGTGTAGTTATTTACATGGAGCAGTGCATAATGATAGGAAAGCTCAGCATATGCAAATTGAGGTTACAGGTATTCATGTAGTGAATTGGTGGAACTACAAACACAGGCTGCTGTTCTAGGTTTTTTCCTCTTGTCTTTAAAATTTTTACCAAACACTTTTTTTTTTTTCTGAAAAAAATTATTTCTCCTGAAGCTTATAGAGGAAGAATGTTATCGGCATGCACATATTACTAGATTACATTGTTTCAATATATATTAAACAGACGGTCCGTAACATTTTGTCATAAATTCTCATTTTCCAAAGAAGACAGCAAGATATTTTTCATACTTCCAATTTAAATAGTAACACTGTAATCAAAGTCTTGGTTTGTTCTGCAGACTCAGTAGTCTCTTCAGTAAGAAAACAAGCAGTTTCCAGAATTACTTGCCCATAGCTGGTTTTACTTTATGTCAAAGCATTCCCATTTTAAACAAAAGATGCTAATGTTGACATATTCTCATCAAGGAGTTTACTGTAATAGGGACCAAAATACTCCCTACTTGTTCTACTAACACGTATCTTTGAACTTTGAAGCACCATCTGAACTTTCCAAAGGGAAGAGTTGATTTTTGGAATTGCAAGAAATCCCATAAAATTTCTTCCATTTTGTGAATGATTTAATCTTCTAAGCTCATCTTTTTCTTTGCCATGTTTTCCAAGTTTTGAAAGACATAATGTTCATAGACTTTTTGACCTGGCATTTGAATATTCTTTGGTATGTTAGAACATGATAGAAGTGTAACTTTTTGGTTTTTTGAGCTTCCAGACATCCTATTTTTATAAAGAAAATTATTATTTTTCCTTAGTCCTTGTCATCATTTGTTTGTCACACAGGTCACCTGATAATTTGACTGTGTAAGTTTTATCTTGTTATTTTTCTTCAGTATTACTGACCTGGAGAGGACACTTGGTGTGAGAGCTTTATCTTACAAATTACTGCACCAATGTATATGTACTTGGCCTTCCTCCTTTGTATGTTGGACTTTTCTTAAAATGTCCATGAGAAGTATAACATGCGTCATTAATCAGAGGATGATGCTGAACTGTCATCTCTGCCTTTTGAGAGAAACACATGCAGGATTGTGTGTTTTAGTAATATCCTTCTGAAATACATAATTCTAATATTGATGAAGCAGATGAGCTCAATTGTACTTCTCTGTCCTCTGCTTCTTTCACAAACTGTGTTCTCCCTATATTGAAGTGGCAGAGTAACTGAAAATAATGCTGTAAATTCACAGGTTTGTTAATGTTCCAGATGCTGAGCTGAGCACTGAGAATTTAGTATGAAGGAACAGGTAAAAATGAAAGTTACAATTTAAGAATTGGGTACCTCGGGCTTTATAGACTAGCGTTAGCTAAATTTCAGTGGTATCCATACTATAGCATACTAAAGCATGCATCTCTGTGTGAAATAAGCTTTAAATGAGAAACACTGTTGCTGTAGGATACAGTAGAAATACAGAGTCTTCTGATTTGGAGACCTCCATCCCATTCATTAGACTGTGCTGGCTTTCAAGGAAAGTAGCATTTTACAGAGGTGCATTGATGAGATAATGTTCTTTTCTGCAAATCCTGATGCTGATAAGTGCAGCTGGAAAAATGACAATAGCTGTTACTTTAAAAACATGGGATTGGGATGAGTATAAAAGGGGCTTCTCAAGATGTGTAGCTCAGTGCAAAAATTTCCTTCTCAAGAACTGTAACAGATGGAGAGAATTCATGCCACTGTAGAAATTAGTTCAGCTTTAGAAGAAAACTCACCCGAAGAAATGCAGAGAAAAACCATTTTGTGTACATGGGGGGGAGTAAGAGTGTAGATATGTAATCCGTTCATATGTGTATATATAAAGGCATAGTGATACATCTTCATGTGAGCATGTGTGCATATATGGAAATACAAACATGCATTGTATATATCTGTATAAAAAAACCTGCAGGAATTCTTACACCAAGAGGCACAAGAAAGTATAATGGGTATTAAAAAAAACAGTGACTCTGAATTTATTTTTTTTTTTATTCATTTCATGCATGCTGTCAGAATTTGAATTAACTAACTACCTCATCAGAAAAGACCCAGGGGCTATTGCAGACGTCTGCTCACTGTGCACTTGAGTATGGATGGTCAAAAAGAGTAATAGGAGTTTTGGTTGTATTGAGGAAAAGATAGAAAATATAATACTCTGTAGTCTTGTATGAATATATAGTATACCCATGTCTTGTTTATGGTATTTGATTTTGCCCACATTAACTTGAAAGGGTCTGGGAAAGGGCAGCTAAAATCATAAGAGATTATCTTTATTTGTGAGAAGAGGTCTAAAGACATGATCTACTTGCAAGAAGAATGATAGAAGATGTCATAAAAGCATACAAAATTAAGTTAAAACAATTTTAAAATTCAGTTGTTAATATTAATCAAGCTTTAGCTATAAAACTACAGTGCATGAGAAAATAGCAAATTTGAAATCGTATAAGAAAAGATTTATTTGTTTAGCATGTGGCAAAGCTGTGCAATTCATAGCAATGAGAAGTGTGGAAAGAAGTTTTGTAACTGTTTTAAAGACTTCCTTCCCCTTCTCCCAGGCACTTCAAAAACAAGTAGAAGTAAGAGTAAGTAAACTAGAAAATAAATCAGAAAAAAATGCTTAAACAGGTGGTCCTCTTACTCTAAGGTACAGTCACCTGTACAGTGGTCCCAGGTATTGTTTGAAACATCAGAAAATGATCACTGTTTGAAGTACAGTATTTTATCTGATGAAGCAGCAGCCTCCTTGGACACTCTGAATGCCTTTCTCCAGGGTATGTCTGTAGAGCTACCATTGCTGTTACAGCAGAGGGCAATCTTGAAATAGAATCATATGGGTAATGATTTAAATTTCAATTCTAGTCTGTATGAACTTTCAGTCTTTTGAGGAAGTAATTAGATCTAAGATACTAATATAATTGTTATTGTCATCCAATAGCATGTAGTAGATACTTATTCTACTTAGCAAACAAAAAAAATAATTTACAAATATCTGTATCTCCTTTGGAACCATCTTTCTGATTTTTAGTGCCATATGTAAAGTTTGGTATATCTTGAAGGCCTTCTCTTGCTCCATTTGTATCACTTGATAATGTTCATGGCCCATGGGCAGATGTTTTTCACCTCATGCTGAAACATTCTAATTTGACTAAGTACTTTGGCACTGATCTGGCCTGCAACTTCCATATAGACCTCATCTTACTTTGATCATGCTTTTGCCAACATTTAATTGTTTTGCTTTATCTTCATTTTTTGTTCTTTCCAGGTGTTTCACTGTGTGCATTTTGAGTGCCCAGCACAAAACAGTACCCACAAGGATGACAGTAGTAAGGAAGTGACAACAGAGGTGGGGACTGGTGGACAACAGCTTGGCTCTCGCCCTGTTCGAGCTGCAAGCACTAGTTCCCTGCATTCCCCTCCTGGATCCACCTCGCGTTCACATGCTCATCAACCATAAAGAAGATTGAAAGGGAGCTTTTGCAGCCCTGCTGACATATGAAATTATTCAGAACCTTCTTGTGCTGGCACCTTTTCTTTCTTTTTCTCTGTGAACAAAGGGGACCATGTCTGAAAGCTGGAAATGCTGAAATGGAAAAGGCTTTTCCCAAGGACATGAAGAGACTGCTTCACTCTCCTCAATTTGTTCAAATCAGGCTGGTCTCGGAGGGGGGAGAAAATAGGTCGTCAATCTTCATCAAGTACCCCATTAACACCCTACCTCTCTAATCTAACCAAGGCAAGGAGAACAGAAGGAAATAAAAGGCAGAGCTACAGTGGAAATCTAAAATTACCCGAGCAAAATGGAAGGCATATGAAATAAGTATTTGTTCCCTGAAGGCTTCCATTAGCAAAGAAAATGTTTATGGAACACATCAGTCCAGAATATATGTTATTTTTAAAGTTATTCTTCATTCATATTCCTTTGTAACTAGTAATTTGTTTTCTAAATTGTTTTGACTCTGTATTCCATTTTGTCCCTTATTTTTGGCTGTAGCAAATGCTGTGCAGTAGATTAAGGAAATATCAAACATGTTTACCTGCTGAGATGCAAATTCCCTCATTCATCAGTGGGATGACAAGAAAAGCCTTCATGATACCAACGAACTAATTAATGGATGCTATATTAATCTTGACCTCAGTTGACTTTTCAAAGTATAAAATTCTAATTTCTTGCACTCAAAATGGAAATTCCTAAATCAAGCATCCATCTTGAAAAAAACATATTTTTCAGTCCTCAAGATGATTACTTAAATTTTACCTGTATTTCTAAGAAAACTTGCAACAGATCATAAAGAATATTTGGTTTAGAAAAGTGGAACTGCATCTGGTTGCTGACAAGCAATTGTTCAGAATACAAAAAGAATAATTTGCAGATTTTTTTTTTTCCAAGAAAAAAAGTTTTACAGTCTGGACCTAAAAATTCAAGGGCTGTATGTGCATAAAGTTTTCTCATAATCTTCATAAAATATGATGCTTTTACATTATATTGTAAAATATCTGGCTCTTACTTTACAGTCACAGAATTTGTCAGTCATCTATGTCTGTCTGGATTACATTGCCTGCTATTTTGCTTATACTAAGTGTTTCCACGCTGATGATGATGCAGTCTCTTACTCTCCAGATCTGTGTGACTTTTAGGAAGAGCTCCGTGTTGGTCTTTCAGTATGGGGCGAAGTGATGTTGCATTAAGTCAAATGCTGATGCAATTGGCAAAATTGATTAGGAGAGTTGTTCCTCCTCACAAAGTATAATATACTGGAAATGTCAGCTATCCAGTTTTATGAACTTGGAATTTCCTGTGGTGACAAATAGCCTTGTCAGAAGAAAATAAAGCTAGTGTAGGATAAATACGGTTTTCCTTTGCCTAACCATAGTGATAAAAAGAGTTATATCAACATATCAAATAGTATGTTAATTTATCACACTACTTACTTTGAAAGAATTTCCCCGTTGGATACTGGCTGTGCTAAAACCAGGAAGAAATATAACAAGTTGTAGCACTGAATCAGTAGAAACTTTGAAGGAGAAAAGCTTCCTTTTTCTTGTTTCAAATAAAATTGATTAGGCTTTATCAATAATACTATAGCATTTTTAATTGCCAAATTGCAGTTGAGTTCTGACATTTACATACTGTCCCTCCCTTCCCACTGCTGTCTTCTGACTTGTGAATGTCTGTCGATGAAGGTGCATGCCCATGGCATTATATATAGCTTATAATATGTGCCACACTGCCTCAGACAGTCTGGAGTTCTGAGGCAGGATACTGCTCATGTCGGTCAGCACCTAGTCTGGGGTGCTGATTATAACAGCCTTTGGAGCATGAAAGAATTGAGATCAGCTACTGGGGACACAACTCTCTTGTTTAAGGTTCAAAAAGTTGGAACTTTTCTTTTTTTCTTTGAAAACTAAAACCAGAAAACTTTTCCATTCTGGTTGTAATCCATGCTGGAACTACTGAGATGCATGGAGCATGTCTTGTCTTTGGTAGATACGTGTCAGTGATGGTATTTCTTTGCCATTTGATCAAACAAGTTTGCTTTTCTGAAGCTGTGGAAGAGCAAAGGGCATAGCTTCCTAGCTGTTAGTCTTTAGTAGTCACCATTGCAGAGAATGTTTAAAAAGAATTTTTTAAAAAGTTTGTGCTAGCTGTTGTGAGTCTAGGCTCTCAGAGAAAGAACAGATTTTCAGTTCGTAATCTTTGATGTGCACAGTTAATTTTTATGATACAAATATGTCTTGTAGACTGCCACCTACTGCACATCTTTTTGATCCTGTCCTGTGACTCACTGTTGAACAGATTTGTCTGTGTATTTCCCATGACATTCATTCTCTGTCAGGAATCTGAATAAACAAATCTGAGATTCCCAAGACAAAAACTATGAGGTCCTATAGATCCTTCAATTCCCCACCCTCAAAAATCAATCAAAACAAAAAATAACTTTATATTATCCCTTCATACAGGTGTGGAGAAAATTGTAGTATTAGACTATCCTTAGTTACATATGGCCTTTCACACAGTCTTTATTTTTTCTGCTAGAGTTACTCTTTGAACTTGTCACTGGGGGGAGTCCAATGTGATCTCAGAGCTCCCAAGCTTTTAAGACAAGCCCTGCCACAACTTCACATTTTCTAGTGGGAATCCTTTACCTTTTTATTCAAAGAAAATAACGTTGAAATGTTTAAGGGACCTGAACTCTGCTTGGTCTTCTAACACTACCCACCAACAAACATCTCTATCTGTATTGACTAGTAAGGTCTCTTTCTTAAATATTGTGTCAGCAATGCATTACTAGTGTCACGGAAAGATACCACACAGAACTGATTTGTGATTTGGAGTGAATGTTCTCATTCATTCTAATTATTGTCTGTATTTATTGATTCCCAATTTCAGATGTAGTTCTTGTACATTCTTCTGAATTATTTTTTTTTTTTCCTTTCCGTGGAAGTAACTTGTGCTGTTAGGTCTTAATATCAGAGTTTATCAGAGTGATGAAATATTATAATTATTCAGAACTGTGTTATCACTCGTATTTTATTTACAACAGGGGTAGAGCAGAACTGACCAAGTATTCATTGTTTTCTTGTCAGAAACTATAAAATAGACTTGTTGTTAGATTTCTACCTGATGGAACTAACTATATTGTCACTATTGATCCATTATTTCTATTTAGTACTTTAGTAACTTTAAATTTCCCAGGCCTTGTTTTCTCAGGTTTTCTTCCATAGGTTGAATTCAGACTTAGGCTCAACTCCCATGGAGCTCAACAAAGCTCTTTCTAAAGTCCCTTTATTTAATTAGCTTTATTCCAAGTGCATTTAAAAGATTTTTATTCATGGAAATGTATGGCCAAATATCAACTCCTTAAAACTGATTTATCCATCAAATTTAATTCCTGAAGTGAGCAAAAGTTGTGCGGCTGTTTTCAAGCCATTGCCAGTCGGCTCTAAAACAAGTTCAAATGTCATGTTTAATGAAATTACAATGAGAAAAGTTAATCCAAATCTATTGTGAAAGATAATACAGAGGAGGACTCACCAATTTTGTTAGAGAAGGAACTGTTCTTCATTGCAGTTTCCTTCCTTTAGGGCTCCATTTCTTTCTTTTTTTCCCCATGAAAATAATTTTTTCTTGTTTGTTATGACAAATCATGAAAGAGCTCAGTGCTTCTCAGCATTGCTGAAAAAATCAAATTAATTTAATCCATCTTCATCTTTACTAATGATAACATTAGAGAATTTTCAATTTAGTATGTTCAGTTGATGAGTTGGCTTCCATGAAAGAAAGCAGAAGATGTCTGCAGTTGTTACACTCTAAGTAAATTAAGTTTCCCAACCATGTGCATGCAAATATCTACTCATTATTCAGCAATGTTTTGTACATCTAGAGCCAGTGCAAAAATTAGAAGACAAAGTTAATGCCATTCTTGTCTGATTGTTGTCAGTAGTTCTGGTAATACAGTGATGCCCACTCAGAGACACTCAATAAGAAATCAGATGTGATTTTACAGAAAGTAGACATTCTATATGCTGCATTTTTCTGTGAAAGTATTCATTGGCTTATATTTTGACAGGTGTTAATATCTTGATAATTTTGTTGTTGTGGCTGGTGTAATCAGCAAATAGTCAGAGCCAGTAAGAATTAATGTATTTAAGAGTAAAGGTTAAGGCTTGTATGTCATGAATCCAGTTGCCAGAGGACTAAACCGTGCTTCAGAAATAACAATTTGCACATCCCAGAGGATGCTTGAGGCCTGGTTCCCATCCCTATCTCTCGGTTAATGGTGTATTTAGGTCGGAATCCTTAGCTGTCTCTGAACTAATTGTTGTAGTTGTCAGCTGTACTAGTTAACTCAGATATGTATAGAAGCTCCACAAAGCTTTGTTCAGGATACAGAAATAAAAGTCCTGGGTCAAGTTTTAAGAGTACCTAAATATTCATACATATATGTTAAATTGAGCTAGTAGCTAATTATTTCGCTAGAATTCAGAACAGGTTCCAAAACTAAAAAAATTCTGTGCAGGCAGGTGTGAAATGCTACCATTGTGGTACGGCAGGATGCTCACTCTGGTTTATGGTTGCTTAAAAAGTGCAAATGTCTAAACAAGGTGTAAGTGAGGAGGTCCAAAGCTGGGTTTTCCCCAGTTGTTAAGTACTGCCAGTGTAACTGTAGAATTCATCTCAAAGACAGGTGTGCAGTTCCAAAGAACAGACCTATACCTCTTCTAGCTACCTTGTATGCTATGGCTTGCAGTGTTTACGGAGGGAGCCTTCATATGACTTTTGTTAACTGCTAAAAAAAACCCTGCAGACTTTTCTTTGGCCCTTCACAAGCTTTCATTGCAAAGCTTTGGCTGAGATAATGTCAAAGTCCTGCTTGTGTTCCATGATAGAATCTGGGTCTGTGTTTGAAATTGCTTACTGGAAAAGTAGTTTTAAAGTCACCCTGTAACTATTCTTAGATAAAGCCCAAGTTAAAAACTGTAGTATAATACAAGGAAACTGCAGGTATCTGTCATGTACCAATTGACTGCCAATACAACTAGTTTTATCATACTGTATGTGTTTAATTACTATGATATATACAAATGGTGGGAGTGAAGAATCAGCTCCACACACCCTTGGCATTAGACATTATCACCCAACCAGACATCAGAGAATTACTACTTCTTCCATTCCTTCCAGTCTAATAGAATAATACAACTCACCGTTTTGGAAAAAAAAAAAGAAAAAAAAAAAAAAAAAAAAAAAAATTGACTCATTACATAAATGTCATGGAATTGAACTTCAGATTACTTTGGCTAAAAATCTGAGTGATGATTTCACTCTGCACAGTGTAAACATGCCTCTCCAGTGGCTCCTGCAACTTTAGACTGTGCGCTATCGTAGAGGAGAGCTGCACTGTTGGTGCAGTGTAAGTAGTTTTCCTCATTGTAACTTTTGCTCATCTATTTCGTATTTGTCATCTTGGCACATGTGTTCTCCTTGTGCAGATACTCATCCTCGGTTAAAAGAAGGTCGCCTAGTTTTCTTTATTTTCAGAATTATCCAGTGACTCCTGAAAACTAGCAGATACACATCAACAACCTCAGTCTATATTAAGTAGTCTGAGGAATTTACAAAACCTGACCTGTATGGTCTTTTACAGTAAATGTTATGTGTCCAAAAAGTACCAGGTAACTCCTGAAATACCAAGTTGGCAGTATTACTGTTCAGATGAGGGTTTGTGCATCTAAAACAATGTGCCATGTCATCCAAGTGAATAGTTATTGCAGCTTGTTTTTCTAGAGAAAGCAGGGAACTTGCACACCTACCAGAAATCACTCATTTCCTTCATATCATTTTTGGTCTACATCACCTATCTGCTGTCTCTGTACTCCTAATATGTCACTCATTTGAAGAGGTAAATAGTTTGAGTGAATGTTTTTATGCAGTAATACAAAGTTCATGGGACTTAGGTGATTAAATTAGAAGCATCACTTATGGCAAGACCTGGAGTTGCAAGGAGCAGTTTTGAAGAAAGATTGGTATGGACTTACATGTGTGCATCTGTGCATGTATAGCTAAGAAAATGTATGTGTTGCCTAAGTCAAAGTGACCGTTTGCAAAGATGTGTTCTACATGGCTTTTTTTAAAATTTAGGGAATTTTGTTAAGGAATCTGTCAGTCATCTGAATATGAGCTCTAAAAAATGAGAATGTAGGGAGAAAGACTTCAGTAGCTTTTATGGTGAGAGCAACACAAAGATACGATTCTTTTGGTCTAAGCTTGTTTTGTGTGTCTCCAGTCCTCTCATATCTTACTTTTTCATACATGCTTCCCCCAGTCTGCCTGTTACTCCTTTTCTTTTCCTCCCTACCTAGCATCATATCACTGTTGCTGTGGTATTCCCTGGAACTTTCCTCCAAATTGTGATACATTAAGGATTTTTTTAAATGTATTTATTTTTACCTCTTTGCCATATGCTGAATAAAATATCCTCATCCCCATTCATTCACATCAGACTTTAAAGCCAACTACTCCTAAGCTGTCAGGTGCTAGTGAGCAAAATTTAAATCTGGCTGTCCATGGATATGGGAAATACTAGCCCTTATGGAGCATGTACTTCCATAATCTGTTTGTTACCCTTTAGAGAAAAATCAATAAATCTGTTGACTTAAATAGTAGGTCAAGCTTTGTGCAGGGTTATCTAAGTCTAATATAAATTTAAGTATTTCTCTCTCACCATGATGTACCAGATATATGTTCAGTTTGTTATTTGTGCATTTCTCAATGTGTTAGATGTACATAAGTATTGTTTTCTAAATAAACTGCATCATCAAAAGTGAACCTCGAAAGAATTCATAACTTCTCAGTGTTCCTGTGTGAAGGTGTTTTCAGCTGTCTGGAGATTCAGACATCACACTGAGTACATGGACTCATTTTGAGATGTATAGTGTTACTTCACAATTCAGTGCCCAAGTCTATTAACCTTGTCCAAATCTGTTAAAATTTTCTTTCTGCTTTGCTCAATTTCATTATTATCATTGGTTTTCTTTCTGAAATGTATTTTAATGTTCCTTCAGAGATCATAAGTATAAGGAGCCAGGGTAAATAGAAGTTCAGCTTTTAATTAACTTTTTCACTCATTTCTGTCAGTGCTCCTCTTTCTTGACAGACAATAGTTTAAAACTAGATAGTTATGCTGCTCTGTAGCAATTATCATTGTATGTTGAAAGTTTTGTGCATTAAATCCCTTTCCTCCTTTCTCTTATTTCCTAAATGTAGAGTGGTTCTAAACTACCTCAGACCTTGTTGTGGATAGGTACGAGTTTCAGCTGAAGTTTTCAGACTTTACTATAGTCTTTGAATGTTAAGTGCATGCATATGTAGTGAAATTAGCCTGCTAGACCCTGACTGCATTTTCAGGAATACTGTCTCAAGTGAGATATGTAACTGGGATGAATTCACAGCCACCCCCATTCAGGCTCATACCTATTTCAAGAAAACCTTTTCAGGAGCTCAACTTCTGATACGGGAAGTGCTTCAACTTTCCGGTCTCAGCTCTTTGAAGGAACATGATATTGCCTGCACTGAACTCTTTTCACCTGTCCTTTACTGTTGCAGACATAAAAGTTGCATTGTCAGACCTCCATTCCTGGCTGTTAGCAGTGCTATTGCATTGGACTGTGCTCGTCAAACGAGAATAAATCCCACATGGCATGTTCTGATGACCTCGGTAACATTTTATGCCGCAGCAGATACACGTTGCCACCCATTTGGGCTAATTATGTTTCAGGTAAAACGATGGTTGCAGATTATGCTGCAGTGACCCAATCAATAACTTTGGGAATTGTCTGGTTTTGTAAGTTATCCATTGAACAACCCATCAAACCTTGTTAGTACTGATTTCCTTTTCACCAGCAGACATGCACATCATCAAATGAGCATTTTGTAACATGGAATTTTCTATGAGCATCTAGAAAAAGAAGCATCACAATTATATCCTTAGTAACAATGTGTGTATTTGTAATGAAAGCTATAGAATTATTAAACTGCTATAAGCTATTCTGTGCATGCTCTAGCATTGTAATAACAGTTTGCATTAACAGCTGATAAGCAGAGGGTTCTGGAGAACAAGGAAGGCTTGCTCTGGATTTTTTTAAGAGTTTCAAAGAGCAGCAAAACTCACCAGAGCAGATGCAAGACCAGATGATACTCAAAGTAAATCATAAACTGAAACTGTTGTGCTTCGTATTTATTTCTTTGGGGATTTTTCTTTAATGTATTTAACTTCACAGGAAAATATAGAATATATTTTAAATGGTGACAATTAGAAATGCACCTTTTCAGGAATGAGAGGGGTGTGATTTGAGAAATAAACTGATCTTTTATGTTTAACTGCTTGTCTGTAATTTTCTTAAAATAATGGTAGAACCTCTCTGGTGCTGTTCACATATTGCATGTGCAAATAGAAGAGTTTTGGCAGAACTGGACTGATTTCCCAGCATGGCAAGGAAATTAATATCATCAGCATTGATGTATTAACTCATAATGACACGGTTTTAATATCAACATAGAAAATGCTGGTGATTTTCACAGTGACTTTCAGGCCAGTGGGCATCTGTGAAGCTACTGCAAATGTTGACAACAGCAGCTGCCAGAGGTTACTACCAGGATGTGCCACTGTACACTCTGGCAGATATGTGTGAATGAGTATTTCACTTTATTTCACAAAAAGGGGCAAATATTTTGAGACTTGGGAATCTGTTTTCAAACTAATCAAAAAAAGGCTTGATTTTTCAGAGGTATTTAGCACTTAATTTCCTCTGGACTGCCATGAAAGGTGGGAGCATTGTGTGTTTGATTCATGAATATTAGGCCTTTATCTGCCTGGTTTATCAGCCTCACTTATTGAATAGAATTTTTGTAAGCCTTGACTGGATTTCAGAACTTCATGCCCTAAAGCAGTAACATTTCTCCAGTAGCAACAATACCTTCCTCTATCATGTAATCATGTAAGCAGTCGTAGATGTGTCATGCTGTTCCCTTCATAAATGTATATAACATAACAAAGTGGAGAGATCAAACTCAAAAGATGGAAGTAGGATACAAAGTTCTGAGATGAAGCTGAGGTACCACAGCAAACCATGCAATGCCATAATATAATTAGATCTAATTTCTTTTGTGTGTTGATTAGCCATACAACAGTTAATAAGTTTGACAGTTGTTACTAGATTTTGGGAGTAAAAATGGAATATTTAAGTGTCAGATCCTGCTGTTTGTTTAAAAAAATTAATGTGTGGATTTTGGAGCATAACCTGCCACTCACCTCAGTTACTAAATTGTGACTTGGGAATATTGATGTGGAGAAGCCTTACTTTTGAAATGGTGTTTGCCTAATAGAGTATGGGGTGAATGTAAACCAGAAAGTTTTATAATCCAGTCAGTGAGAAGCAGCTCATGCTGAAGCCATCTGCATTCCCAGGCTATGTGTACAAGTTAAAAAGAAGGTAAATGCTTTTTGCTCTATCTTGATAAACCAGAGGCCTCTTGAGGGCTTTGGGCAATTTCTATTGCAGCCCACAGGCAAAATTTTGATTGTGTTCCAGGTAATGCAATTCATAGCAAGTGCTGGATATATTGAACTAGAAGAAAAAATAAAAAGCATAGAGAGGAGGGAAAAAAAGTTGGATGAGAGTAAAGGTAAGAACTATTCTTTCTCCTTGCTCTGGTAAGGGTCTAGTTTTATCTTTGTGCTTAAGCTTGTAAAATCATCATCAACAGGTAGGGATCATGAAGACAGTGCAGACTGAAATGGAAAACCAGCCGCCTTTCCAAACAGTAGCAGAGTACAAAGTCAGTTTGGATGCTACAGCCTGAGGATTTATTTCAAAGTTGTTTCTAATTCTAAGTGACAGACTCACTTGTTAATGAGCAGTAGCAATTCAAGCTTAAAACACCGTGACGCATCATTTGAGTTGGAAAGACCAGATATATATCAAATCACAATCATCTTCATAATATGGAGCAAAATGCACATAAACATAACATTTTTGTTACTTACTCATTTTGTAATTTACCCTCTATTAACTGCTGCTTAAATATCCTCCTAGGCTGTGCTAAGCAAATTAAATCTGGAAAGTAGGCAATTGTTGCCTTTATAGCTCAGAAATAATCACACAAGATCTTATTTGAGTCTCTGTATTTCTGTGTTTTGCCATTCTCTTTCCCTTTTCCTCCCCCAGTAATATGCCAACCTTCTGTAGCTGGAAACGTGTGTGGGTTTTGTCTCAAAAGCATCAGAGGAACCAAGGTGTATGGGAAAAAGTTTAATTAGAGTGGATGCATCACAAAAATATCCCTCAGTGCAGCTGAGTCATTGGGAAGTTGCATGCGTCTAATCTATGCAACACCAACATTAGTCCTATTTATGAAGTGTTCTTTGTTGTCTGGTTTTAAGATGTTACGTTTGAAGGTTGATGTTTAAACTGTTAAGCTTTTTTCTTGAAGACACTGTGACATCGGGAGAAACTGAAATATTCATAAATCTTTGCTTCCCTCAGCACCAAACTCTGCTGTGCAGGTTCCCTTCTAGCCAGTTGTTTGTGGAAATGCTCGCTTCTGCAGCTCTGTTTGATCAAGCAACCTCCCTCTGTTTTTTGAATGTGACGATTCATAGCAAGTGTACATGGGAGGCAGTGGTGTTGCTTCGCACTGAAATATCGTCTCTGAAATAAAATCAAATTGACAAGAGGAGCTATTATTAGAATATAAAAAATATGCTTGGTTTCCTATCTTTTGAACAGTTATTTCTTTATGAGAGGACATTCTATATCCTATGGCAGCTCAGTTTCTTGGAGCCTTTGGTGAGTGATGCAGTCTACCTACTCTGGTATTCTGTCTCTGATGGTAGCCCATAGCAGAGTGAGATTCTGTGAAGAACCTTTTCAAAAGCTGTTTGGAAACCTAAATATAATAAACTAACTAGGTCACTGGTATCCTTGTGCTCATTGACTTCTTCAAGGCACGGAACGTGTTTGTGAGGTAATTATTTCCTCTACAAAAGCCAGCCTGAGCTTTCCTATTGTGTGTTTTATTGAGGAGGAAACAGAGATGACCATGCTTCTGTGCACTGGGGAATAGCTTTCACATTTTCAGATCTGTCAGGTATCCATGTGCTGAGACTTGCTTGTCTGTCCCCCAGTTTCAT